CTCCTGGTCCTCTTCATCCTCCTGCTTCTCCCGGTTCGCCTCCCGCACCCCCCCCCAGCCCGTAATTTCCCTGAAACTCCCGTTGATCCTCTGATGTCTTTTCACTGCCTCCCTACCGTCGCATTTCCGAAACGCAGCAACACAAAAGCCTATACACATACAACGATATCTCAACCACCACGGGGCGAAGTCGAGGCCGCGCAGGACTAGGCGGGCTGGGTGTTGAGACCACAGCGGGCTACTCCGACACGCTGTTTGCGCCGCAGCCAAGCGCCTCACCAACCACGCCATGCCCGAGAGCGAGCAAGTCGGCCCGGAGAAGCTCCACTTCAGCTAACAGCGCCGCTGCCTCCCCGAGCAGGCACCGATCCGCCACCGCGCAACGACTTTGAAAACGCGTGCCTCATACTCCCTTGTGCCTGCCTCCCGGAATTAACATGGACCTGGCCCTGGCAACCCGGGGTTAAAAGATGAGCTGGCGGCGATCCCAGCCGAGGGGCGCCTACCTACGGTCGGGAACTGTTGCTTAGCGTGTCGCGGCGGCGGCCCCCTGCGACACGCAATCCCCTGCGCGCGGATAGCGTGTCGCTCCACTCCGCGGGGCGAGAGGCTCGGAAAAGCCCAGGACGTGTGGAAGCCTGGGAACTGGGAAGCAGATACCGTGTCGCGCCGCAGCGTAGTGGGCCAGAAACGGCGGAGCGACACTAGGGAAACGAACAATGACATAAACATAACAACTCGGAGGTCCGCGCGGATTTCTCAGATCGGCGCTGGGGCCTCCTGGCGGCGCCTCCGTCGCCGCCCCTGGCGCGCTCCGCGCGCCAGGGAGGGGGGCCCAGTGCCGATCCGAGAAATCCGCGCGGACCTCCGAGTTGTTATGTTTATGTCATGGTTCGTTTCCCTGGACACGCCACCCAACACTCCCCGACCGTAGGCTTGCCGGGGTCGTCTCGAGACGTATGGGGGCCACACGCGAGCCCTACCCCTGACCCCCACGATTTCTGAAGGGGAGGGTGGGGCTCACTTCTCTCGGGAGCTCCCCGAGCGAAGTGAACCCCACCCTCCCCCCCAGAAATCGTGGGGGTTAGGGGCAGGGCTCGCGTGTGGCGGCCTCCTAGCGGATCTGCGCGCTCCGCTTCGCTTCCTCGTGTCCAGGCCTTCAAAGGGGGGAAGGAAGCCACCCCGGCCCTCGCAGCTGGCGTTGGCCAAGCTGCCCTGCCCTGCCCGATTCCCTTGGCATCGCTCGATTCCCCCCTGAGGATGCCTCGTCGCCCGGCCGGGCTCGGCTCGTGGCGCGGTGGGCCCCTTCCGCGGGGCGGGCGGCCCTCCCCGAGGGCAGGCGAAGAGAGCCCGAGCGCGCCCGAGGCCGGGCGCCCCCCCCCCCCCTGCGGGCTTGCCTCCTCTCCTGCCGCTGCTTCTCCTCCGCGGACCCCCCCCCCTGGAGGTCCTCGTGGAGCCCTCTCGGGGCGTCTTGGGGGCCTCCTGGGCCATCCGGACGGCATCTCGGGCCATCTTCTGGGCTCCTCTTGGCCGTCTTGGGCGCATCCCGGGACCGTCTCGGAGGCTATCTTGGGCCGTTCCGAAATCAGTCTTGGCGTGAGGTGTGGGCCGCCTGGATGGCATCTCGGGCCGTCTTGGGGCCATCTTGGCCGTCTCGGAAACATCTTGGGACCGTATTGGAGGCCATCTTGGGCAGTCTTGGAGGCCACATCCTGGCCGTCTTGGAGGCGATCTCTCTCGGGGAAGCCCGTGGGCTCGTGCGCTTGGTGCTTGCCCCGTCCTGTTGGTTTCTGTGGGACCCCATCGCCTTTCCATTCTCCTTCCCGCTCTGCGATCGCCCCGCTCCCGAGCACAGGTACCGACCTTGCCGCCTTTTGACCGACCTACCTTGCAGCTGGTCGAAGCGGCGGCGATGCTAGGGGCGGCGAGGGGCCCAACATTTCGCGCAGGAGGCGTGGACATCTTGCTGCAGCGGGGCCGCTCAGGTCCCCCATCAACCAGATGACGATTGTCAGAAACGAGACCAAGACTACGTTGAACGCTGACCTTCAATGCTGAAGTCTGAGGGCCGCCTGGAGTGCGACTGGACACCGAGGTGGCGGCAAAGCACCTCAAGACCTGCCGATCAGCCGTTGGCATGCAACACATACGAGGCGGGCCGAGGTGGATGGACGAAGAGCTTCTACTTGAAGCTGGTCGACCAGCTTGGCAAATACTGCTTCTACTTGAAGCTGGTCGACTGGCTTCGGCACCTTCTCAGGCTCATCAACTTCGGCGGCGAGCAGCTCCCGTGGCTGATTGACGCGCAGTGGGCGGAAGATGGCAGCTGGAACCAACGAGTCATTGAGGACCTCCGCTGGCTGGCAGGCATGGTCACCGTCGAGGAGATACCGCGGGACAAGCGACGGCACCACGAAGAAAGGATAGTGTTCTTTCGCGGCATGGGCTATCGCATGGCGCTCAACCTCCTGCAACGAGCTCGGCACCGAGCGCATTCGGCACGCATGTAATACTTTAGATACTCACTTGGCAGCGGCATCTGCGCTTGGTAGCCCTGCAGGTTGGTGTAAGATCTTGGCAAATTCTTGGCGACTAATGGCAGATCTTGGCAGCGAAGGGCAAATCCTGGTATGTCCTGCGACAAAATCTTGGCGACTAAGGGCAGATGGACAGGGCGTCGTACACTTGAGCATGGGCAGAGATATGGTGACAGACATATACGAGGCAGTGTCTGTCCTAACTGTGGCAAAGATGTTCATAGAAGGGCTGCAATTCTCAGGCACATCAAGTACCGCAGTCCGACATGTTTGGAGCACGTCCGTGCGACAGTTGCTCCAATGACCGACGAGCAGCTGGCAGCAGCAGATGAGGAGATGGCGCAGGACACAAAGCGGCTGAAGCACATGGGCTGCAGGGGGGCCGTAACGCTGAGGCCTGTCGCCCCGCCAGAACCCGCCTGGCAGCGCCCGCGCTGCCTGCGCCGCCTGGGTTAACCCCAGGAAGCATTTAAGAACCCCCCCGGCGATATCTTAGCACCGCATTTTTATTCGATATTCCGAGGGGCCGAAATAACCGAACGATAGGTTTAGTACCCGGACACACAACAAATTCGCGGAGGCCTGGCCCCTGGGCCACAATCGAAATTCGAAATTCTAATCTGCGTGGCTCTCATGAAAGACTCAGGATGTCGCTTGCTGCTTGGAAAATTCATGCAATGATAACAGTATTAATATTCGCAAGCATATTTGATGACTCCTAACGACTTGAATGAGGAGAGGAGGAGGAGAAGGAGGATGAGGAGGAGGAGGAGGAGGAGGAGGAGGGCTCCTGGTGCCAGGTAACGCTTCCAGGGTGCGGAAGGGTTATCGATTTGCCGGAAGGGGGGGGGGTTCTTAAATGCTTCCTGGGGTTACCGCCGCCAGTGGCTGCCGGCCTGCAGCCTGCGGAGGCGCCGCCAGCCCAGGCTCCCAGATCGCTCCAGATAGACATGAGGAAGGAAAATAACTTGAGTTTTTGGCGGAGTGTGATGGCGGCAGGCCTTGTCATTTCCATCCTGGGAGGAGCGCCATGCGGAACGTGGTGCCCGGCGAGGAGGCCAAACGACGGCCCAGGAGGCAAGCAACCGCGGCCTGGCCTTGCGGAGCCGCCAACGCCCGTGGGGCATCGTCCGCGTCACAGAGCGAGAGCGGGAGCGGATCGACCTGGGCAGCGCCCTGCTGCGCTCGTTCACGCTGCTGGTGCCAGTCGCGTGGCCGCTGGGCGTGCGCCGCGTCAGCGAGCGCCCTGCGCGGGCGCCCTGGAGGCCATAGAGCACCAGCTCCTGGGAGACTCCCGAGCTGCAGTGGATCGGCGGCCTGCCTGGGGTCGACTGCGTGCAGGTGGACCAGTGCCGTCTGGACACTTCTAGCCCACTGGGGCTCTCAGGACACCGTCTTCCTGGCTTGCCTGGGGTTTGGTCCCGCGGCCCCTGGGCCTGAGACCCTCGTGCCAGTCTTGACTTCGCTGGCTAGTTCAGCGATCTGGTGCTGGGCACCTTCTGCGCAGGGCGGCCCAGTGTCCTGGGCCTCGTGGCCCGTCTGTCTCGCTGGCCCGGGCCCCGAGCTGCCTTCCCGTGGCTCTTCTTGGCCCCGCAGCCCGCTGACAGGCGGTGATCACCATAGTCAGTCCAGTCAAGGTCGCCAGCGTGCGACGCCCCACCCTCTTCATGTTCGTCCATCGACGGTTGCGATGTTGGCGACGACGGCCTCCTGCTCTTCATCCACCTATGTCGACTGGGTCGAGCAGGCACCGTGTTAGGCAGGTAGCAGTAGCAGCTGAGGGATGATTCACGAATGCCGTAGGGCTTGAACGCAGCGAACGCTGGAGGAGCAGGAGGAACATAAGGGGAATCATATAAATAAGCACAATATAATAACAATGATAATAGCAACAATGCGAATTGCATGAAAAAGACGAAATGATAACAATATTTTGGAAAATAAGATAGTTGGAGAAGATGGAGGGCGCACGAAGAGGAGGGAGGGGAACGGGGCGGAGTAAGAAGAGGAGGATGAGGAGGAGGAGGAGGAGGAGGAGGAGGAGGAGGACCCTGACATCCGCCGACCTGATTTTTCCAGTCCGCGGCACCAGAGGTCCAGGGCCAACGTTTCCCCCCATGATCCGTTTTCGATGGCCCCAGCCTGGGGCTATCAAGCGCGGCCCGAGGCCGAAATCGGGGAAACACGCTCGGAGTATCGTCAGAGATCTGTGGAGGGGGCCCTCCCTCCCCCCTTGGGGAAACCAAGAGGTACCGATATCGCTGATCCCCAGACCTCTCCCGGGGTGCGCTCTGACCAGGACTTCGAGGCGAATCCAGCGTTGGCGACGAGGGCTACCCAGGAGGCCCCCCCCCCAAAAGGGCAAACGAGGGAAGGGGAGAGGTGTGGGTACCGCTTCCTCCTCTGATCCCTCCCTCCTGGAGGCATCCCCGCCCCGCCCTGGGCCCCCTGGAGAGCGCCCTCCTTCACCAGCTGCTCGCTCTTCTTGAGCTGCAGCTCTGCGACCTGCCGCCCGCGCCTGTGCCGCCGACCGCTCCGCAGGGCCCTACACTGTCAGGAGCTTTTGCTTCGCGGGTTGCCGCGGCAGCCCCGGCGACACGGCGACACGCCACGCTTGGCAAGCGCATGCGATCATGGCGCTGCCATAAGGAACGCATAAGAGGAGACGAGGGGGCTGTTCTGGCCAAGGCGGGCTTGGGCCACAAGCAGGCCCAGTGACAAGCATCTACGGAACGGTCCGAAAATTACAGCCGCTCCTGAGGCGTCTGAGGCGTCTGATGATGCGGCCAGCTCCAGCTGGCCCTGCTACCGAGGCGGTCGCCCCCACTGAGGGAGCCGAGGGAGCCGAGAGCCGAGCCGATGCCCAGCCAGGACTTCGAGGGGCGCCCAGCGTGCCGACGAGAGAGCGCCGGGGCCCGAGCACCAAAACCGAGAGAGGCGGCTCCAGCCGCTCCTGAGAACCAAAACCGAGAGAGGCGGATCCAGCCGCTCCCGAGACCCAAGGGCTCCGTGCTGTCAGCGTCTTGCCCGCGGCGTGCCGCTGCGCTCTCCGCGGGGCGGGAGGCCCGAGAACCAAAACCGAGAGAGACGGACCCAGCCGCTCCTGAGACCCAGGGGATCCATGCTTCCGCGTCTTGCCCGTGGCGTGCCGCTGCGCTCTCCGCGGGGCGGGAGGCTCCGGCAAGAAGAGCTCGGGGCGTGGACGCCCGGGGACGAAGGGGTACGGACGGCGTGCCGCGCCGCGCAGCCGTGGTGGGCCAGAGAACCGGCGGAACGGCACGCTGTAGCCCCAGGACTCCCGACCGCACAGTCGGGGCGCTGACCTAAGGAACCCTACGTAAGGAACGAGGCCCCTTTTTCCCATAAGTTCAACTTCGCTTGCCCATCGAAACCCTAAGCAAAACCAAAGGCGAACTGCAAAACAGCTAAGGAACACGGAGCCCCTCCCCAACGAGAAGGGTTCCTTCTTCAGCGCCCCGACTGTACGTCGCCGCCCCCTCGACGAGCCGGGGCCTCGGGGTGGACGGCCTCTCCGGCGCGGTGGCGGCCTCCGGGGGCCTGGGAACGCCAAGGACACCCGGCAGCCTCGATGCCCGATCCCCGATCCTCGATCGAGAAGCCACGATCCTCGATCGAGCAGATCTCGATCCTCGATCGGTCAACCTCGATCCTCGATCGAGCAACCTCGATCCTCGGTCCAGCAACCTCGATCCTCGATCGAGGCATCTCGATCCTCGATCGAGGCACCTCGATCCTCGATGGATGAACTCTGACCCTCGATCGAACAGACCTCGATACTGAATCGAGCTACCTCGATCCTCGATCGAGGCACCTCGATCCTCGACCGTGGCACCTCGATCCTGGAACGAAAAGCCCGATCCCCTCCCCGTCGGCGGCGCGCCCAGGTGGGAAGGCCGAGGGGACAGGCCTTCCCGGAAGGCTCAGACGGCCTGCCCGGGCCTCCTGGGCGGTCTCCTCCGCCCCTCCAGAGCCGCGCCGCCCTGCGAGAAGGCCTGCTGCCTCTCGCTGCCGACGCTCCCCTGCTGGCAAGGAGGGAACGGGTCCGGACGAGATCTCCACCCCGAGTCGTTATCTGACAGCCCCGGAGCCCGGGGAGGGTCCCGCGAAGCCGAGAGCGGCGGAGAACCTCAGGACCCGTTTCCCTCAGGGCCAGTTCCCCCCCCCCCTGATCATGGCGACCCCTCCCTCTTCACCGCCCTCTCGGGGGCAGGCCCCTTGGCATCCCGGGGAGGGGGAACTCTCGATGATCCTCAGGACGTGCGTTGGCCCCAACGTGTGTTTGTCCATCGAGGCCCTTCGACACGACCCGGGCGATGTAATGATCCACTGACTGGGCTGAAGGGGGTAAACACACACATTGGGCCAACACACACGTCCTGAGGATCATCGGGAACTACAGTCGGGGCGTCGACCTCAGGAACCCCAAATCAGCAACGAGGCCACTTTCCGTCCATCACTTAAGCTTCGACTTCCGATCGAAGACCTCAGGAAAACCTAAGGCGAGCTGCCAAACACCTGAGGAACACTGAGCCCCTCCCACACGAAAAGGGTTCCTTCCTCAGCGCCCCGACTGTGCGGGGCGGGGGGGGCCTGCAGCCCGGCATCCTGCACGCCCTGCCGCCCCCTGGCAAGGACGGCTCTGCGGACCCCATGCCGCCCCCGAGGCGGCGGCCACGGCTCTCCTTGTGTCGCTCCCCGCCCCTGCGGGCCCCTCCCCAGGTATCCGACGTTCCAGCGACACTGGAGCGGCGGGATGGTGTGGCGGGGTTCAGCCTCCGAGGGGCCCTCGCGGGGCCTCGGCGGCGCCAAGAAACGACGCGGGACGGACAAGCTCTCCTCCTCCTCCTCCTCCTCCTCCTCCTCCTCCTCCTTCTCCGCCGCCTCCTCCTCCCTCCCCTCCCCCTCCCCTCCCCCTCCTGCCTCCTCCTCCTCCTCCTCCTCCTCCACCTCCTCCTCCTCCTCCTCCTCCTCCTCCTCCTCCTCCTCTCCTCCTCCTCCTCCTCCTCCTCCTCCTCCTCCTCCTCCTCCTCCCCATCCCCCCTTCCCCATCCCCCTCCTCCCCCTCCTCCTCTCCTCCTCCTCCTCCTCCTCCTCTCTCCTCTCCTGCCTCCTCCTCCTCCTCCTCCTCCTCCTCCTCCTCCTCACTCCTCCTCCTCCTCCTCCTCCTCCTCCTCCTCCTCCTCCTCCTCCTCCTCCTCCTCCTCCTCCCTCCTCTCCTCCTCCTCCTCCTACCTCCTCCTCCTCCTCCTCCTCCTCCTCCTCCTCCCCCTCCCCCTCCCCCTCCTCCTCCTCCTCCTCCTCCTCCTCCTCCTCCTCCTCCTCCTCCTCCTCCTCCTCCTCTCCTCCTCCTCCTCTCCTCCTCCTCCTCCTCCTCCTCCTCCTCCTCCCTCCTCCTCCTCCCCCTCCCCCTCCCCCTACCCCTCCCCCTCCCCCTCCTCCCTCCTCCTCCTCCTCCTCCTCCTCCTCCTCGCCTCCTACCCCTCCTCCTCCTCCTCCTCCTCCTCCTCCTCCTCCTCCTCCTCCTCCTCCTCCTCCTCCTCCTCCTCCTCCTCCCCCTCCCCCTCCTCCTCCTCCCCCTCGGGGAATTGGTCCGGACCTCTGGGGCCCACGCAGCGAGCAGATTGGCGCGGCGCCGGATGCCTGGGCGCTGGCCCTCTGCTGCTTCCCCGCCCGTCTGATCTGCTCTCTCTCTCTCTCTCTGTCTCGCTCCCTGCTGGTCTCTCGGAGGAGGAGGAGGAGGAGGAGGAGGAGGAGGAGGAGGAGGGGGAGGGGGAGGGTGCGAAAAGCCCGGCCAACGCGGGAGGAGGCTGCGGCCCCGCGACCGAGAGCGGGTCCCCGCTGCATTCCCCTCTGTAGCTCCTCCCTCGGGAGAACGTGCTGATCTTCGACGTGGCTTCGCCCGCCCTCTTCGACCAGCCGGCGGCCTCGAGGTGGACAGCTTCTCCAGCACGGTGCTCTCGCGCAGCAGCGCCACGTCCGCCGCGAGCGCCTCCTTCGGGTCTCGACGATTGGCCGTCGCGCCTCTCGTCGCTCTCGCCGTCGTCGGAGCGTTGTTGTCGTCATCGTCCTCGTCGTCGTGGTCGGACCGTTGTCAACGTCGACGTCGTCGTCCTCCTCCCTCCAAGGAAGGAGAAAATACCAATACCGCTGCTCGTCCTGCTGGAGAGCCCTCGTCACCACGGCTGGATTCTCCTCGAAATTCTTGTTAGAATGCATCCCAGGAGAGATCCTGGGAGTAGCGGTATCGGTACCTTTCTGCCCCCCACTCCCTCCTCCTCCCCCTCCTCCTCCTCCTCCTCCTCCTCCTCCTCCTCCTCCTCCTCCCTCCTCCTCCCTCCTCCCCTATTGGTTTTGGCTTTGCTAGTTCACAGAACGGAGCCGTACAATACTCCACGTCAAAATTCATCGCACGGGATGCTCTTCAACGCGGAGCAAGTATATTCCGTCTACTCCACCGAATCGCAGTCGTAGCGAACCCAGAAGGGTAAAAATGCTCGTCACGGCGATATCGTGGGCATATCGGCAATTTCAACACTTACCGTCATCACTACTGGTCGCCGGGGGGACATTGGGGGGGAGGCAGAAGGATGGATCGCGTGGGAGGGTTCTGGTCAGAGGGTCGGAAGGGGCAGGAGACGCGATGATAAGAGGCTTGATGAGGAGGAGAGAATAAGGATAAGGGATAAGGAAAGACGACCTAGGAGTTTGGGGGGGGCAGGGACTACGGGGAAAACCGACCTGACAAAACATACGGGACAACACTCGTGGGACACCACGAAACTATGCGGGGGTAGATTGGCCACGCCTTGGTTCCCAGGCGACGCCCATACCAAGGTCAGGTTGGCTTTCCCTGCCCTGCCAGAAGAAGGCCATGCAACAACTTAGAGGGCCTGTGCTACGGAAGAGTAAAGGTGCTGCTGAGTTGGCTGCTGCTCAGCAACCTCGTGGAGTCCTTGAACTGCACCTTTGGATGCAAGTAACTTGGCGGCGCGAGCCTTGGCATCGCCAGTGGGGTTGGCGCTGGCAGTGGGAGCGGCAGCAGGCGCAGGAGCACCACCAGGAGGCTCCGCCTCCCTGGCCCAGAGGGCTTCTAGTTTGTGTCTGAGGGGGGTGGCCGCAACACTGTCGCCGCACTTCCGCTGCTTGCCGTCCAACCGACTGAGCAAGACGCTGTGTTCCATGCGTAGTTCTTCCGCCTTGGCTTTGGTGTCTCAGAGCAAGCGGTTGCCGATCTCCTTGGTGCGCTTCTCCTCCTCCTCCTCCTCCTCCTCCTCCTCCTCCTCTTCGGGAGTGAGGTCATGATCCTCAGACAACCCAAATCAAGACTGATGCGTTCGTTCCTATTTATCGAGGTTGCCGTCCAGAATGTCCTCGGTAGAAATGCCAGACGACTGCTGTACTGAGGGCGGCGCGAACGGAGCACAGACCTGTGCGCACATCTCCGCCACCGCGGTTCTGCCATCGTTCCCGGCGCCCTCCAGTTCGACTAGGACGAACGCCACGGTGGCCTGCTGCTGGGAGAGGTTCTTGTCCAGGGCCTCGGCTGTCCCAATCTCTCTGCCGAGGCGGTTCTCGAGCTGCTTTCTGCGTTTGTCGGCTGCCTGCGCCCGCTGCTGCGGGGGGGAGGTGGGGTGGGAGGGGGGGAGGGGGCTGGTGCACGGCTGTGGGACAACTCGTCGCGGTGTTGGTTGGCCAGCACCTGGTTCCCCACCTTTTCCATGAGACGCTTGGCCTGCTCGAGCTCCCGGTCGCCGAAATATGAGGCAACGCCCACTCGGCCTGGAGAGTCTCGGGCTTGTCGACAACGCTGCGCAACTGGCTGTTGTCCTGCACAGCCTGATCCTCCACCGAGGAGCGGCCAGTCGCGCCTGACACTGAGGGGACCGCCAGGAGGGTGAGGACCATGCTGACCAATATATGTATATATATATATATATACACACCATGCCGAAGCGAAGCGAAGCGAACGCCGGAGTCGTGAGCGCTCCACTGGGGAGCCCGCCCGTGCCAATTAGGGTATGGCGTGGAGGCCGTGGCCTCAAAAATGTGATACGTAAGCGGGCTCACGTGATAACCACCACTCTGTGGGTCACGCGGCAATGCTCGCAATTCGTCCATGCTGCTGTGCTCTTTTTGCACGTGCAGTGGCAACATGACAATTGCTCTCCTGATGAAGGCGTCTGCCAAATGCCTGAGGGGACCGACCACCATTGCTGTTGCTGGTAGCCGTTGAAACGAACGTTTGGGTTGCTCCAGCCCGACCATTGCTGCTGGCCTCCAGGAGCCATCTTGGGACTGGGGAGAGAGAGGTGTGAAGGAGACAAAGTTGGTCCGCCAGGCGTGCCGCTCTGAGATCTGCACTGGCAAAGCCCCGCAAATCGATGGGGCCAGAGGGGCTTCAGCCAAAATGGCTACGGATGTTGAGGTGATGGGAAGATGGCGGAGTGAGAAGCGGATGATCAGGCGGAGTCGTTGGACGATGGTGGCGATATCAATAGGGGGGAGTTAACAGAACCCGAAATATGGCATATTGAGACAACGGAGGCTCAACAGCGGTCCTCGGACCACTCCCACAGGTCCAAACGCACCCGTCGTCCGAGCTGCGTGCAGCCGAGAAGGACAACTAACGCTATCTAATTTCTCCCTCATTGGAATAACGATGCAGCTAGAGGATCAAACACATGCATAACCATAAACGTTCGAATTGTCGCGCGGATTTCGTGGATGGGCGCTGGACCCCCCCTCCCTGGCGCACGCAGCGCGGAGGCGCCTCCAGGGGGGGGGCCAGCGCCGATCCGAGAAATCCGCGCGGACATCTAAACGTTGTTGTGTTTGTGCGTTTCTTGCTCCCCGCAATTCACCCTCCTCTGAAGAATGATGAGGAGGATGACACATGTTCAGCTACACTTATGTTGCTCCCATCTTCCTTAAGGACCACATCCCAGAAATAGTTTCGAGCACCCAGACAAGTATCGAAACAGTGCCGATCGAGTATGAACTCCCAGGGCCCGACACGTGAAAACCCTCAAGCCTCGACGCTTTCTTGGTGCTTGAAAGTCTCTCTGGTGGTCAAGGCTGAGAGGCAGGTAGGCACATCACGAGGCTACACGCAAAGAGTGATCCCAGACGAGAGTGACCCTTCGTGCGCGGCTTTCGGGGGGCGCAGGGGAGCCAGACCCGAACACGCAGGCCGCTGCTCTCGCCTCGCCTCCAGCCATCCGTGGACCCCAGCGTGGCCGCACCAAAGGCTTGGCGGCGAGCCCAGGGGGGGAAGTGGGAGAGGGGCCAGGCCTTCTTCAAGGGGCCCAAGGACACACAAATAAATACACACAAATAAAAAGATGCCCCATATTTTCCCATATCTTCTGGGTTTCTGTCTTCCCCCCATTTCCCATTTTTTTATATTTTCTGGGGAATCCACGATTAATTGTGTCTGTGCGTGTTTTTTCCCTCCTGACTTCTCAGAAGGCGGCGGGGCTTCTCAGAAGCCCTCGTGCCGTCTGAGGAGCTGCTGCACCTTCGGAGCAGGCTCGGACACAGCTGCGCCGAGGGCCGAAGGGGCACCCGGAGCCTCCTGAGGAGGCCCGCCCCCTCTGCCTCCCCCCCTGGGCGCGCCGCCGAGGAGAGAAGAACGAGACACAAAACAGGGCTAGGATCGGGATAAATCGCTCCAGAGCGTTCCGCAGCGCTCTCAGAGAGTGTTCCGGAACGGAGCAGCCGCGGCGCCCAATACATCCTCCAGACCCGCCGATTCTCAGAGATTTTGAGCTATCCCGATCCGATTTTGTCCCGATCTTCGCGTCGTTTTAAGACACGAGGGCGAGCTCTGCGGGACACGGCGCGGCCCGGCGGGCGGCCGGCGCCGCCCGCGCTGCCGGGGCCCCGGGCGGGCGCCGACGGCCTCTTTCCGCGCCGTGGCGGGTCCTCGAGGCCGAGCGGGGCGGGCAGCGAGCTGCGGCAGAGGCGGCTCGGGGGCGCGGGGGCGCGAGCGTGGGGGCGAGCCCAAGGAGTGAGGAGGAGGAGGAGGAGGAGGAGGAGGAGGAGGAGGAGGAGGAGGAGGAGGGAGTGAGGAGGGAGGAGGGGGGAGGGGGCGGGCCTCCCCTGAGGGCTCGGAGGGCCCCGGGCCTTCGGAGCAGTTTTCGGAGCCTTCGGAGCAGCAGAGGCGGCTCGGGGCGCGGGGGCGCGAGCCGGGAGCGAGCCCCGGGGGGGGAGGCAGAGGGGGCGGGCCTTCCCCGAAGGCTCGGGAGGCCCCGGGCCTGCGGAGCAGTTTTCGGGGCCTTCTCCGCGCCGACGCAGGCGGCTTCTCAGAGGGGAGGAGGGCTTCGGAGAGGCCCCGCCGCCTTGTTAGAGGGCCTGCCCCCTCTCGCTTCCCCCCCAGGCGCACCGCCGAGTGATGGGCAGCGAAGGGCGAGACGTGAGACTCCAAGTTCGGGGGGCTCGGGTTGGTCTGACGGGGCCGTCAGAAGGAAAACCACGAGACACAATCTGACGTGTGACGCGAACTCCCGCTGCAAACCTCCCACGAAACTTGGCAGAACAATGCAAGACAGGCCCGTCAAAGAGCCTCGGCAAACCCGCGTTTCGGCGAACTCGAACCTTGCGTTTTCCCAGAGAGGGGGCTGGGGCTGGCTGTGGAGGGGAAACGTATCGACCGACAGATCTCTGGCGACATAACGCCGACAGATCTCGGCGATAGGACCTCGTCGATAGTGCGTCAGCACCGTCCTGGGCGGGGTGCGCTGTCGGGCCCTCACCGGCGATCAGCGGTGGGCGATTTGGGGCTCGCTGCGTCCCCCCCTGAAACTCCTACCCCCTCCAAGCGTTGCCCCCGAGGGCGACACCTTGGCGAGCCTCGAGAGAGAGAGAGAGAGGCGAGCCTCGAGAGAGAGAGAGAGAAGAGAGACCCCGGACATCCGACGACCTGCTGCGTTGTTCCTTGCGCGGCCCAGATCTCCCGACAGCTTCCCCGGGGCAGTTTTTGCGCCTCGGAGCATACTGGGACAGACCCTGGGGGCCCGATGACGGGCCCCAGGGGCCGAAACCGAGGAAAGACGCCAGGACTGTGGAAAGCGTGCGGTTGCCAGCGCGGGCCCTGGACAGTAAGCTATGACAGGGTGGATGTGCAAGCTGTGTGATGCGCAAGCGCCTCTGCGGCTGTTTCTCGAGGAGCAGAAATACAGCCTCGGGCCACGCTCCACTCGGCTAGGCGTAAGAGTGACCCTGGGTAAGAGTGACCTTTGGAGCGCAGCTTTTGGGGGCGCGAGGGAGCCGAACCCAAGGGCGCGGGCCGCTTATATCGCATCGCGCTCGGCGATCGGGGGGAGCCCGATGAGCCCGCACCAAAGGTCACTCCGGCGAAAGGTCACTCTTACGTGTGGTCGATCCACAGGCGGCAGCGGGCCAGCACGTGGCGAACACCCAGAACGTGGCGAACCCGTGACACACCCGTCCGGTTCCTCGAGAGCCCCAGCGAGCATCCCTGGATGCAAGCACTGCTTGGGGAATCTCGCCGGAGGTCTGTGAAGGGGCCCTGGGACACACAAATAAATACACACAAATAAAAAGGATTCCCCTATATTTTCCCATATCTTCTGGGTTTTTGCATTCCCCCCCCCAATTCCCATACTTTCCCATATATTTTCTGGGGAGTCGGCGATTCATTGTGTCTCTGTGTGTTTTTTCCCTCCTGAGTCTGGGCCGCGGCGAGCGCCGGCGAGCGTCGAGAGAGAGAGAGAGAGAACGCGGGAGAAAACTGGCAACGGGTTGAGGCCGGGCCGTGCTGCTCCCCAGCCTGGCGGCTGCCGCGCAGGGCCGGGCAGGGGCCGTGCCGAGGGGACAGCGGGGGCGGCGCGGGGCGCGCGGCTCCACCACCGGGGAGGGGGAGCAGATCCTCCTTCTTCCTTCTCCGGCTCCTCCTCCTCCTCCTCCTCCTCCTCGTCCCCGATGCCTCCTCCTCCTCCTCCTCCTCCTCCTCCTCGTCCCCGACCCTTCCTCCTCGATCCTCGCGAGTCGGAACGAGCGGAAGCGCGGAAATGAGGCCAGCGCTGCAGCGGGAGCACGATTCGGAGAGAAATCAACGAATCGACACCGAAGTTGTAATGACTTCCGATGATTTTTTCGGGGGGCATTTTCCAGATTTGGGGGCCTATTTGGAAGGACCGAAAACCATGCCGTGGCATGGCGCTGGAAATAATGATGCCAGCGCTGCAGCGGGAGCAAGATTCGGAACGAGCGGAAGCGCGGAAATGAGGCCAGCGCTGCAGCGGGAGCACGATTCGGAGGAGCACGATTCGGAGGGAGCATGGCGTGGCAACGCCACAAAGTGGGGGGGGGCTTCTGCGACCCCAGAAATCAACGAATCGACACCGAATGTGCAATCCCTTCCGATGATTTGTTCGGGGGGGCATTTTCCAGATTTTGGGGCCTACCTGGAAGGACCGGAAACCATGCCGTGGCATGGCGCTGGAAATGATGACGCCAGCAATGCAGCGGGAGCACGAATGGGAACGAGCGGTAGCCCGAAAATGAAACCAGCGCTGCAGCGAGAGCAGCATTTTGAAAAAAACAATCGAAAACCCGACTCCCGGGAATCCGATGTAAAAAAACAATGCGCGAAGGGGTCCGAGTATTTCCCGGACGTCACCAGGGGAGAGAGGAGAATAGTATGCAGATTGTGTAATTGTGGAGGAGGAGGAGGAGGAGGAGGAGGAGGAGGAGAGGAAGGAGGAAGGGGAGGAGGAAGAGGGGAGGAGGAAGAGGAGGGAGGAGGAGAGGAGGAGGAGGAGGGAGGGTAGGAGGATGAGGGTGAGGAGGAGGAGTAGGAGGAGGTGAATAGGAGAGGAGGAGGGGGGAGGAGGAGGAGGAGGAGAGGAGGAGGGGAAAAGACGTGCGGATTGTGGGGGAGGGGAAGTGGGGAGATGGGGGAGATGTGGAGAATGATACCCTTGGAGTGCTGTAGGCGCCAACGGGTGTGTGGCGAAGAGGGCCAGCCTTTGTGCTGGCTTCCTCCTCCTCTCCGCTTCCTTCTTCCTCCCTCTCGCTCCCCCCATCCGTCCCCCTCCCTCCCTTCCGTTGTTCTTCCTTCTGATTCCCTTCCTTTTCAGGCTCCCTCCCCGTCGTCTTTTTTCGCCATCGTCGTCCGTCGTCGTCGTCGTTCCTCGTCGTCCGTCGTCGTCGGTCCTCCTCCTCCTCCTCCTCCTCCCCCTCCTCTCCTCCTCCTTCTCTTCCTCCACCTCCTCCTCCTCCGCCTCCTACTCCCCTCCTCCTCCTAGTGTTCTCCTCCTCTTCCTCCTCGTCCTTCCTTATCTTCCTCCAGGCCCCTTCTCCTCGATCCACCTCCGCAATCCCTCTCCTTCTTCGTCATTATCATCTTCCTCCTTCCTCTTGTCCTCCTCCTCCCTCCTACCTGGCTCTTTCTCCTTCCCCTCCTCCTCCGCCTCCTCCCCTCCTCCTCCTCCTCCTCGTGATGGTTCTCCTCCTCGTCCTCCTCGTCCTAAACCTTTTTCGTGTCGCCTCCCCTTTACTCCTAGGGCTCTTTTGTTTCCGGCGACACCTCCGCATCCCTCTCCTTCTTCGTTATTATGATGTTCCTCCTCTCACTCGGTTTCCTCCTCGTCCTCCGCCTCCTACTCCTCCTCCTCCTCCACCTCCTCCTCCTCCTTCTCCTCCTCCTTCTCCTCCTCCTCCTCCTCTTCCTCATAATGGTTCTCCTCCTCGTCCTCCTCGTCCTCCTCACCGTCCTCCAGCCCTTTCTCCTCAACCACCTCCGCATCCCTCTCGTTCTTCATCATTATCATATTCCTCTTCGTCCTCCTCCTCCTCCTCCTCCTTATCCTCCTCCTCCTTCTTCTCCGCTTCCTCCTCCTCCGCTTCCTCCTTGTCTCCTTCTCCCCCTCTCTTATTCCGCTTCCTCTCCACATGCCACTCACTGGGTAGTCTTGCCCTCCAAGTTCAATGCACCTTGGAGCAAGTACACCGGGGCTGTGTCCAGCACCGCAGCCTCAACCGCCAAGAGGAACAGGGGGCTGGGCAGGAGAGGGGGGAGGATAGGGACGATAAGCGAGACGAAGATACTGATTGGTGTGACGAGTGTGGTGATGATGGTGATGGTGTTGATCTTGATGTTGATGGTGATGATGATGACGACGATGATGACGACGATGATGATGATGAGGATGATGATGATGACACTGATACTGATGATGATGACGAGATGATGATGCTGCTGGTGATGATGATGGTGACGATGATGCAGAATGATGCTGATGCTGATGATGATAATGACGATGATGACAGTGACGATGGTGATGTCGATGGTGATGCAGATGCTGATTACTACTATTCTTATTGCTATTATTATGCTGATGGCGATGGCGATGGCGATGGCGATGGCGAGATGATGCTGATGCTGATGATGGTGATGATGCTGGTGATGATGATGCTTCAGATGATGATGAGGATGGTGATGCTGCAGCTGATGATAATATTCATGGTGGTAGTGATGATGATTATGATGATGCTGGTGGTGATGATGATGGTGATGATGATGACGATGGTGATGAAGATGAAGATGCGGACTCCACTCCTCGCGGCGACTCCTGGGTACTTCAGTTGGCTGCAAGCGCTTGCGCTCTGTGGCATGTTCGGGTAAACGCGCGAAGACGAGCATCGGCAGCTTGCCGCTAGCGAGCTCAAACTATGATCCCTCGCCTGGAGGGCGTTGAAACAAATATGTCATATACATAGCAACGAGAAAGACGAGCAACCCGTGAGAAGTTGGAATGCCGGGAGGAGTACGACAGATGGCTTTGGTGAAAGAGGTGCTCCCCCATCAGACAGGAAGAGGAGGCAGCAGGGCACGCACAAGTCTCAATAAATCAAGGCATCGTCAATCGTGGTCATGAGGTCGGCTTTGAGGGCTCCACGCCCAAATATGCAAAGCG